ACACAATAGAGGAGGTTCCTATTCTGTTAATGGGTTTCTGCTTCCTGTTTGTCACACTCCAGACATAGCAGCATTCAAGTCAGCGTTTAAGGGAAGACTCAAACATCACTCTAAAGCCCATCCATCAGAATACGAGAACAATTGAAATAATTCCTATTGTGAGCTACATTTGCTTCATAAAATAGGAAGTCTGCTAACTATCAAGCTAAACCAAGTGAAACCAAAGTCACTTTCTTAGACAAGCACTACTTAAGGATAATCACAAGTAGGTCAACTGACTATATAAAATAAAGGAGAAAGAAAGCAGAACCGGCATGCAGTTTTGCCTCCAAAGAGAGATACATCCCCAATGAATCAAACTTCATTTAGAAACATATGACTTCACCTTATATTATTAGTATATCAATTATAGCATCTACCTCAGCATGCAAAGCAAGGATTATTCCATTAAGCTGCAATATTCTCAAAAAAAAGGCACATAAGCAAATAATTTAACACAGAAGCCACAGAGCACGCCCATGACAATTCATTCTCTGAAACAGGCAGGCATTATGCTGGATTCCAGAAGACTTCTACACCCAATTCAAAGTGCTATTAGTCGCCTACAAAGCCCTATATGGTGTAGCTTAGTAGCACCATAGCCTTGCCAAAAATGAATCTACCCATCTCAGAAAAAGATACCAGGAAGATCTATTAAGAGGTTTACTCTTCATTTGAAGTCAGAAGAACATTTTGTGTGGCAGTGACCATACTTTGAAACTTCTAACCTACAGAGGTTCATAAAGCCCCATCCATGATCTCATTCAGAAGAGCACTGAAGATAATTTTATTTCACCAAGACTTCAAACCTAGTTAAATTTTGCTGATCGCTATGTTAGGAGAAGGTTGATTTATAGTTGTTTTTAAAAATTAACATATTGCAACCAGCCCTGTCTTTTAAGTTGGGCAGACTCTAAACGCTATAAAATAAATGATAATTTAAAAAAGATCAGGTCTGCCATGCATAAGTCCATATCACTCAAAGCTACTTATAGCTAGTTAGTTAAAAGGGTTAAAAAAGGGTTAAAAGGTAAAAAAATGACAAGATTTCTAGGAAACAAAGAGGAAGTGACCAAAAAAGTCAAGTCCTCCCTGTGTAGAGGAAACTAGCCTCCTTTATAGGTATGACAAGTTGATTTTTAATTGTTTCAGTTTCCTTTCTTGACTGGTAAAATAAGGACAGACATTTGATGATTATGGAGAAGAAATCAATTTTCAAGGTACTCAGTGGGTCTAATTAAAAAGTATCTATTCATCCTGATACCATTGCACCAAATGGACAAGAAAAGGAGAGAAATAACCAAACTTCACTAATTCGGAAAGACATGCCTTCAGAAAGTTATCCACTTTACAATAGTTAAGGTTGCTTAAAGCCATCGTTCTACACCTACTATTGAGAATACATGACATATTGAGCATCGCTTAACCAACCCAACAAGGAACAATTTAGGGAAAGCATTAAAAACGTAAGAAAAGGGAACAGATCTAAATCAGGCGATTTTGAGAAGTTGCTTCAGCCAGTGGGTAGGGGGGGGGGGGGGGAAGCACAAAGGCCAAGGAAAAAAATGGTATTTAATTCATCCTAAAGTAAAATCTCCTTCCAGTGTGCCTCAGCGCAGTAATTGAAAGCGCATATAAGGGGCTATGGCTAATTAGCCCAACGCTACACTTGACTCGAGGAGTCAAAAATCCCATTGCATTCAGCAAAGGGAACATTTTTTTCACAAACCACGATGATCCTAAAAATCCATGGTTAAAAGGGAAAAAAAGGTGCTTTTACACCACTACTACCGTACTTCCTCATCCTGGGCGGGAAGGTGCATCTCGAATACCACCTGAAAATAACCGGCAACAAGCCAGAGAGTGCGGCGCCTGTCTCCTTGCGGGAAGGGGGTCGCCTCGGCTCCCAAGGGGGCGGGGGGGGGGGCGCCCGCGGATCAAGCAGCCCCCCGAATTCACCCAGGCTGGGAGCAGCTGAGCCAGGTGGAACCGAACGAAGCTCGCCAACCCATCCATCACCCCCGCCCCCAAAACAACCTCTCCGCCCGGGGCTCCCCCCTTCCGCCCCCACTCACCCTTTGCACTTACCACTTCTCTCCCGTTCCCAGCGGTCGCTTCCTCCCAGGCTGGCCCGGCCCCTCTCCCTCTACCTGCCGCCGCTGGGCCTCCAGCCCGGGCAGCCCCCTCTCCGCCATCGCCACCCACACCTCCGCCGCCGTTCCTCCGCCAGCCCGGAAACGAGAAAGGGAGACACCTTATTTCCCTCTCCCGGCTCCTTCTTCATGGCCCCGCCCACCCGCTTCCGACCGGCCGGATAGGTGTGGCAAACGGGACGGAAGAATAGAGCGGACCCAGCACCATGTTGAATGTGGCCTACGGCGAAGGCGTCACGACGCAGGCCCGCGCTATCCGCCCTCCCCCATTGGTGGGCTGGTGGCGCGGGAAATTGAACGAAAGCGGCGGGGGGGGGGGAAAAGGCGGATCGCGGCGTCGAGCTTTGATTGGATGAGCGCGATTACGCCGGGCAGAAACGGGAGACGACGAGATTCTTTTATCTCTACGGCACATTTAAAAGGAAAAAAAAAAGCCATCGTAAAAAACGCGGGCGCCTATTTGTGCATTGAACCGCTTCCGGCACTAGTGACCTTCGTCCCACGTGGGTGTCAGAATTCTTGAAACTGAAGTAACCAATACTGGGAAGATGCCGTGCACGATGCTTGCAGTTGCCATTTTTAGTAAGGGCAAGTTTTAAAATGCTTACTCGGCTAACGCAGCCCTTCACGTTGCCGGTCGAAATGAATTTTGACGCTGTCCTTTGAAGAACCGGGGAGGAGGCGGAGTAGAAATAGCCAAGCCGCCTATCCTCTTTATAGATTGCTTTTTGAGAGATACTACTGAGACCAGCGGTCTAAGTTTATGCACTTGATGCCACACTTTCTAACCAGAGGATCTCGCGATTATTTTAAGTCCCTGTGCAGATTTGCATAACCTGAATTCGAGAGTATTTTATGACAGCTATTTTGACTCAGAATAAAGGCATAATTTATAGAATAGCGCCTGTTATTGAGGGTCCAGACTGAATGCATTTTGGGAAGCCAATACTGTAGAATGGACAGAACTAGACATTCCTGAAATGCAGTTTTATTCAAAACAATTGTGGGTAAGGCAAACCGCGGCTTGGCACAACGCATGAAATTAAGCCCATGCAACTATTTCACTGACTTTTCTTGCAATACTATGCACCAATCCTCTACGCCGGGGTCGCCAACCTTTTGGACCTCAGGGACCACCCAAATCCCGCGGACCAGAGACCCTGGGAAAATCCCCCAAAAGGCTGCAGGAAAACTCCCCACCCCGTTTTCCTATCAATCAATCATTCTTTATTTGAGATCGCAGGATACCATCTCCAACTCCATTCTCGGAGGGAGAGGGAGGGAAGGAGAGAGAGAGAGAGAGACTGACTGACTTTTGGCTTCATGCAAGGAAAACAGCAGAAGCAGCAGAAGTCTTTCTCTCCCCTAAACTCTGCCAGAAATGAATCTTTCTGAGACTTGTCGGGCCGGCACAGCCTCTTGAAGCAGGATGCCTTGCAGGGTCCCAAAGACTCATTTCTGGTGGAGTTTGGGGAGAGAAATAAACTTTTGCCAGGCAAGTTCCCCCCTTCCCTCACTACCTTGTGTTCGCAATGCAAGCAACACAGCCTGGATTAATTGCTTTGGGGGTGACATTTCTCTGTGGACCACCAAAATTTTCTCGCGGACCACCAGTGGTCCCCGGCCCACTGGTTTGTGACCACTGCTCTACACAATACATTGCCTTTATCTTTTATCAGTTAAAGGTGACGCCAGAATAGTTGGCTCCTTTTGATTTTTTTCGAACTACCCCTCCCGTGCAACAATCTTGCAGGACAGCTTGAATGTACACTCACTTAAAAACTGGATGAAACTTCAAAGCATACTTTCACTTTCGTAACATTTAAGTTTGTGTAGATTCACTCTCATTGCAATGATGGAGGAAATTTTGTTGTGAAGAAAACAGATTTACTAGACTTTGTGATTAATGCAAACTGTAAGTGCAAATCCTAAATTATTTCTACTTCAGATGGCCAAACATGGCAATCATTAGCAAATGAGGCCAAATATTAGCAAATGAAGCCAGGACAAAGCAGATACAACTTAGCAGTATCCTCACAAATGTTTTCCACAAACCAGCAAGCTTACTCGTGCCTTCCTTGGCACCCATTAGCCTGGCTTTTTGGAAAATAAAAACACCTGCATAAATAAAAGGCAAGATGAGCAGGAATTATAGGAAACAACTGAAGTTGTGGGTAGCTTTAAATCTATCTCACTTTTAAGGGACTGATAAATTTGTGGCAGTCCTTTATTGTAAAGTAACAATTTTCCCCAGCAGAGCCACCCCCATTTCCTCAAAATTCTAAACACCAACCCCAAAATATTGGGTAACTAGGCCTCTGCATATTGCATGACTATCTGCCATTAAGCCACATTAGAGAAAATTGTATTCACTTCAAAATGACTTATTTCCCCAAAGGTCCCATGACATGTATGAACAGAAATTATGTTTTTTCAGCAGGACAATCTTCTTTCTAGTGGATTTATTGAGGTACACCAATAATACGGTATTCTTCATTGAAGACTGTTATCTAATCTGGCAACAGCCTTTCTCCATCAACTGGCTGGCACTTCATGAAGGCAAAATCCTGATTTTGGAGGATCCCCCAAAGCCCCATAAATGGGTAAACTTGGTTGTGAGTCAGCATGTCATTTCCATGGTTTGTCCCTGAGAAATCTGAAGATGCTTTTGCAGTGCCTACTGATATGAACTGAACATCTGGAAATATCAGTAGCAGCAGAAAATATCTAAAAGGCAGTCAACTGTTTTCAGTAGAAGATCCCTTAATCCCTAATCCCAACTCAAGATTAAATACAGCATACACCAAAGATTGTTGGAGACTTTTAATCAGTTCCATACATTTGGATATGGTGCATTAATTAACCCCAAAGAAGGTGGACAGAGCATGAGGGGGGAGAAAAAAGATTGTTCATTTTGTTCCTTAGGGACTTTTCTTCTATAAATGGTAAACTTTGATCTTTGAAACAGAAAGTTCCTCCCCCAATTCAAGTTATGTACAACAATAGAGTTTCTTCTTCCATACTAGGAGAGCTGAAACTCCGTATCTACTCCACTAATGTGGAGGGAAGCAGGATTGAGGTGGGGGAGGCCCATGGAGATAGTCCATTCCATATGTTAATGATTATCCATTCCTGGGTTTCTGTTTCCTGCAAGAAGAGGTTGGTTGCTTGTCTCCAGTCTAGAAACAAATTATGAGGTTCTGCCCTTCCCCACCCTCCTCAAAAGCAACATCCAAATCCTCTGTACATTCATTATCCAACAGGCCATCTTCAGTTTTCTTCTCACATAAAAGCTCTCATAATGCATTGTATTAAGAACACTATAAGCAAACTGGTTTAGCCATTGTGGCATTTATTCCTGCTGTCACTTCTGAGAATTCTGAATCCTCAGTTTAGGCCCTAAACCGCTCCCAAATTCTCAGCATTATTCTGAACTCACGCTTCCCTCAATTCCTGAAAATTCAATAAAGTCATTTGTGTTTGGAGAATACCTCACGTATCCCATCTCGGCTACATTCTTCCATATTCTAGAACCTCATTTCTTCTCTTTGAGCAAAGACAGAAAATGGGAATTCTATGAACTAAACCAGATTAGATTCTGGATCCCTTCCACAAAGGTAGCCCTGTATATCTTGGCCATATTTCTCCATTAATTTACTCAACCACAGCATACATAATAGGAGTTCCTGCCAGTCCCATATAGATTCAATACTTAATCAGCTATGATTTGTGGTCCTTCACTAGGGTTAAGAGGTCTGTTCGGATTAACAATGGATAAAGAATGCAGCAAATCAGCCCTTAAAACCATGGTCTCAGGTGGGGTCCTGAATCCAGAGTTTGTGTTACCTATGATTCAACACTGCATTGAGTAAACATTAGTTAAACTGTCTCCTGATCTCCCCAGTTTTTCCTGATGACTCCTTGTATGTTCTCTTAAGAGCAGGATTTTAAACTGAGCAACCTCAACTATAGACTCCCTGTACCTCTACAGTCAAGATTCTGATATAGCAAACCAAGTCTAGTGCTGTATCGTATTGACAAATTATGTCTGCAAGAATGGAAGTAACCAAATATACATATTATGATTGTTGAGTTCCTGCTGGAAGCATGGCCTCATTTCAGACCTACTAAGAACAGGTCAGTTTTGAGGCAGATAAAAACTTTTTGAACCACTAGGTCCAGAGCGCTTCAGAGACATGTTCCAGGGAGGAAAGCAAGAACTCTGATCAGAAGGGATAAGAAAATGATCCCTCAACTAGTGGTTTCTGATTCTAAGGTGCAGTTGAAAGGGGAGACCAAAGAAAGGACCTGGGTGGCCATAGTCAAAAACCCAGTAGGCAGTAACTAAGGGAAGGATCATGCAATCAGGTTAGTGGGCTAAAATGGACCTGTAGATATTCACTAGGTTGAAGGAAAGAGGCTGGTCCTTCCTGCTTATTAGGATGCCTTGTGTAAACACAACCTTCTTATCCCCTGAGCTGAGCACTGGTTACTACTTTCAGCCTATGCCCAGAGGCTAATGCTGGGTAAAGTAGGGTAGGCTAGATTGTTCCCCAGATGTCTCCATTGCATGGACAGCAGTATCTGAATGCCAAGGCAAGAGGTCACCAGCACCACAAACTCCTTGCATCCCAGGGCACAAGGTAGGCTACATATCTCTGCCATGCCCTCTGTAGGCATTTTCGGAAATCCTCTTAAGTTGCCTGAGCGTTGTAACAGTAACTAGAACGGTTCATTGTATGGCTCTCATCAAGGGAAGATCTTGGAACCTTAGAAGCGCTTCATGCTTGCATATAAAAATGGTTACATATGTACATATATATATATATATATATACACACAGACATACGCACGCATACATATATATAGGCTGTGATCAAACAGCAAAAATTGGTACCATCTTGTCTAATACTCCTGGAGCACAAACTCTAGGAGATGGATCTGCCCCGCCCCACCCTTCAGTTCTGTGCACCGAAGCTTCTGTGCCCTGAACTCAAAGGAACAGTCCTGGTCTGGGGAGCTGTGATACTGCTGGGCCTTTCACTCTTCCTGTAAATCGGCTCTCCTAATTGTAAGACAATTGGAAGCAGAGGGAGCCCAAATGCTGAAAATACGCAGGCAGGTCCCCTGGAGACCTTTTTTGTCTAAATATTGAAGGCTCTGGTATACAGAGGTGAATCTCTAAAGAGCTGAAGACGGCAATACAGAGAGCGGAAGGAAAGGACATCGGAGTCTTCCGAGTAAAGATCAAAAAGTCAACCCAAAAAGCAGATAGTTTTGGAGGGATGTTTGGTTAAAGCAGAAGCACAGACAGGAGTTGATTGATCTTTGAAACCAGTGAAGCTATAGATGGGGAAAGAGCCCATTGCCTCTTAAGTATCTCTGATTCCCAATGGTAGAAGAGGTAATTGAAGTGGCTAACTGCAGAACAGATGTTCTGTTCTGGTTTACTTTGGATTCAAAACAATGGAAAATAATGGTAATCATGTAATCTACATAACTAAGGACTGAAGAACCTGCTACTCTAAATTGTTACAAAGATAACCATGGGGTGAAAATTGTAGGAACTGATGTGAAAATCTCAGCAGCAGAGACAAGGCAAATAATTTGCATGAAGACCAAATAAAGGCTGGCATTTTATAGCCCTATATGTTTTGGATGATTACTCCCATATTCCTAAACTGCTGATCCTGCTGACTGAGGATGAGGGGCGGTGTTGTCCAAAATTTTGGGAAAGTGCCGAAGTTTTCATACCAAAATAAACACCACAGCATCGGAGAAAGATCTCGATGGGCCCGTTCTAACATAGTCGTTTGGATATAAGAAATGTTAAGACAAGCTACAAGTCATGATCACTTAGGAACTGTAGTATACATGAAAAACAAAGAACTGGGGTGAGAGAACAAGGCACAATCCACTGGGAATTGGATCCACCATCCTACAAAAGGACTACTAGAATATCTGATGCTTGTGTCTGGACTAGAAGTGAGTGGACTGCATCTGGAAAGGCAATGGAAGAAATGCAAACCCTGAGTACCAAGCAATAATATAAGAACCGTAACAGATGAATAGGAGTTAAGCTACAATTGAGAGCACTAACCAAGCACAAGCCCAGGAGAGGCACCAGTCAAGATCCAAGGGGTATCAAAAAGGAGACTCCGCTTTGGTGTGAGGAGGAGATGGAAGCAGCTCCAAAACTGAGCAAAAAGGGGTTTGGAAAGAGGGCATCCTTGCGGCCAGAAAGTCCCAGTAAGAAAGAAGACAAGGAAAGAAGGCCCATCTTTCCAAAGATTTGGAGAATTCTCAGAGGACACCTGGTTGCCTGGTCTTCCCCGGACTTCAAAATACACAGTTAGGGCAGAAAAACAAAGCCCCCACCATGTCCAAAGAAAGTGATTATAGCTGGGAAGGAGGAGTGCTCTCATTCATCCTAAATACTAACAACCTCCCCAATCCCATCAATTCCTAGATTATGGAGTGCAAAGGATGAAACTACTCTGGCCCCAGTGCTTCTCGTCCCTGCACCTGGGCCACTACTGGGATGAGATAGGGAGGGGATTGGCTCCCTCACAGTTAATACTGTACACTCCCCATTACTGGAGAGGCTAGGGGATGTGGGGTGGTGGTGTCTCTCTCTCTCTCTCTGTATAGATATTTGTAAATATAATATTTATAATGTTGCATTGAAAAAATAAAACTTAAAAAATAAAATGAAACACCGTGTGTGTGAGAGGGAGGGAGGGAGGGTCCGTCCCAGCGGCACAGAGAATTGATGGCTGGCTTGTTGGTGCCAGGAGCGGTCATGTTTCTCCTCAGTTCCAGGGCCCTCCACCTTTGCCCCAGCAAATTCCCAGCACAGGTTCTCATGCCACAGTTCAATACCAAGAAGCCACCAGTGGAGACAGTCTGTGGGGTGGAGTGGGGAGAAACCTGGCTTCTTTCTACCCTTGCCAACCCAGAACTGTAGGCTTCAAAGCAGCAGGCTTGGCCGTCCATTCTGACCATTCACTGTAGGGAAACAGCAAAAGTGTTATAGATAGAATGCATTTTGCGTCTTCCCCCAACTTGATCCCCCAAGGTCTGCATTTTTCAAACTTTGACAATTTTAAGATGTACAGACTTCAACTCTCAGAATTCTGAGAGTTGAAGTCCACACAACTTAAAGTTGCCAAGTTTGAAAAACACTGTTTTAGAGGATGTGATGCTATTAACATTCCCCCAGGTTCCTTCTAATGTTTCTTCCCCAACTATCAGGTTGTTATAATTCTTTGAGCAATCTGGGAATTACATTTTTTGTGTGTGCAATATGGATGCAAATTTCACATTCTCTCAGCAGCCTGATGAAGGAGCCATTTTAGGCAGGTCCAATATTTTCAGCCCCATTTTATGGATGGAAGAACTGTGGGCTAGAAAGTGCAGCTGGCCGAACACTGCCTGATGAGAGCATCACTAAGTTAGCTTTTGAACAAGGGCATTTCAATCCAATTGCACCTCAGTCTCAAGATCATAAGGTTCCAATGCCACAGGATGCTTTTTCCATCATGTTGCTCCACTTTCCCTACTTCTGATCCCAAATTTCTTTAGATTTGAACTACAGGGGAAAGCTTTGAATTGAGGATGCACTGAGCTAAAAAGACTCAGATTTGAAACAGAGGTGCCACGAAGGCTCTAGTCAGGGTGACTGAGAGAGGGGAGGATGCCAACTCATGGTGCTGAGAACAGGAAGAAGTGAAAATGGAAGTGGGTGAGGCACAGATACCTGGCCTGGGGGCTACAGTTCAGTGTCCACTAACTGGAACATGGTTCCTACTTTATGGGAGGGGTGAGAGTGGTTACTGCATAACTACAGACACAGATGTACTGTTAAGCAGGGAGATGGGGAAAGTCTGCTTCTCCAAGAGAAGCAGTTTTTGGAGATAGGAAGGGACTATCAAGGTGCCCTTTCAAGTACCAAGAAATGTGGGCCACCCATTCAGGGGGAGGAAGAAATTTTATTCAAAACTGAGGGCTAACGAAAAAGCGGAGGGAATCCTGTTGACAGAATTGCTCGACAACCACTTCTCACCTGATTCAGGCAGGGAAGCAGATCTCAGCCCAGTCTCTTTCTGTAACTGAATCTCCTTTAGTGCAAATATTGATGTTGCTGCAGGAGAAGAAAAAAAGACACAAAGCCAGTGAGATAACCCCAAGTTCTAGGCCTGCTATTCTATCATGCTAGCATGTGAACTGATAAAAGGATAAAAGTAATTTGAATAAGTATGTGTGCGTGTGTGTGCATGTGTGTGTGCGTGAGAGAGAGGGAGAGAGGGAGGGAGAGGGAGGGGGAGAGAGAGAGAGAGAGAGAGAGAGAGAGAGAGAGAGAGAGAGAGAGAGAGAGAGAGAGAGAGAGAGAGAGAGAGAGAGAGAGAGAGAGAGAGAGAAGAAACACAGAGAGTACATATTGGCAAATTTTTGAATCAATTTTTATGGATTTTATCCCATTAAGGGATGTAGTAGATATTTGTTTCCTGCTGATCAATCATTTTGATCATGAAAGACTGTCTAGACAAGTCCCTGCAGTTTTTTGTGGCAAGTTTTCAGAAGTGGTTTGCCATTGCCTTCTAACTAGGGCTGAGAGAAAGTGACTGACCTAAGTCACCTCAACTGGCTTTGTACCTAAATCAGGAAGAAAACTTAATAGTCTTTCAGTTTCTAGCCTGATGTCTTAACGACCATACCAATCTGTGTACATTCAAGTCATGCATTCTTCATTGAGCTTTGATGTATGGAAAAATGAACGTTATCAATTAGTTAATGAATGTTAGTGGTTCTGTTACTATTCCGTTATTATATTTAATGTGGTGAACTATATATTGCATATTATGCAGTTCTCAGTTTTTGGCCCATTTGAAACTCTAGAACAGTGGTACATAAAGTAATACATTAAAGGAAAGTATAACAAAAAATGTTATCACAATAGATTTGTGTAAAACATGTGAAGGTGAAGTTTCATTTAATTTTATGCTATGCATTCTCAACAAGTATTTAAAATTCTTAGAGAATAAATTCATCAAAAATAAATATCAGCATTATGGGAACAAAAAAAATCAAATAGGCCTTACATGGGAAGACTAAAGGCTCTTCCCCGCAACCTGCTAACCACAGATGGAAATCTATTTTTAAATGGATATAGAAGGCTTGTCCAGATAATGTTGGGCTGACCTCAGCAGACCTACCCAGAAGGCAGCCTGAATTTATCTTCCTGATCCGGTTTTAAAGCGGTTTGCCGGTTTCTTCCAACATAAACTGGAATGGAAGGGGTCTGTACCAAGATAGAGTTAGGGGTAGGAAACCTATGCCACCCTAGCCATTAGTCACTGACTTTTGTGTGGCAGGGATTGGGGGGGGGGGGACATGGGATCTCCTGCCATGCCAAAAAAAAACCACCTTTCCCACCTCTTTTGCCAAACCATAGATAATGGGGAAAGCAAGAAAAAGAGGGAAAGTGGCTTTTTGGTGCCCAAAGAGCCCCTTTCCCTGCTTTCCTTCCCCAAGGGGAGGACACCAGAATAGAAGCAACTCTGTAGTTAGCTCCCTGCCACTTACAAGCCTAGGAAGAAAAAGTGGCGGGACAGGGGAAGAGAAATGGAAATAAAACTGCTTCCTGCCCTTCTCCATCATTGCTTCTTCTCACGCCCAGGAGAAGGATGGTACTTTGGCTGCCAAATTTCCAATCTCATAGATTTGTTGAAGGGGGAGGGGGAGGAGGAAAGAAGAAGAAGAAGAAGAAGAAGAAGAAGAAGAAGAAGAAGAAGAAGAGGAAGAAGAAGAAGAAGAAGAAGAAGAAGAAGAAGAAGAAGAAGAAGAA